TTGGCGTGAAAATTATTAACTCGGAGACCAGAAAAGCTTGAAAGCTGAAGTTTTGTGAGAATGCTCCCTGTTCGGGTATAAATTCAGTCCTTGCGCACTCATACGCACAAAAACATGAAATTTTTGACGCCAAAATTGTTAACTCGGGAACCATAAAAATACATATCAAACAGTAGTGCAGTGAACAGTTTTAACAGCAATATTCCCCTGGACGAAGCTGCACAAACGTTTGCTGGATCGAGTTGCACAAAACGCATGATTGTACCAATACTCCGATGCGCGCGGCTATTAATATTTTCATCAGTCCGTGCTTTTCCTCATGTTGCGTCATATTACTTGCATTCTACGTTTTCCACATTTTACATATATCTATTTGCTACATTAACATTCGCTGATCAAGCTGACAGTGCAACCCAAAATTAGCCTGCCTAAATACAGCATAGTGTTTTCTCGACATACTTAAAGCTGTCAAGATTTATGCTCCACTATTCTCTACTCTATCTAGTTCGTTACTGCTTCCCTTGCCCTAATGAGAAGCTTGAGACAAAATCCTGTAGGTGGTATTTTCAAAATACATGGGTCAAAGCTGTAAAATTTTGTTGTCTGCTTCGCTGGTAGTGTCTGAATACTCAAAATCAAAAGCACTGAGGAGAAGTGGCATGAATTTAATCTCTATTGCACGTGCATAAAAATCACAAAAAGCGCGGGGGAGATTAAGAGGGACGGGACAAAAAGGACGTTTTTTTGATGCAAACTTTCAGAGGCCATATTTTACCTGAACTGGTTTTTTGGAAGAGGAAGAGAGGGAAATGGAAAGGGGAAAAGAGCAGTTTCTGTTCTATTATACAATTTATGCTGTTTTCATGTTTTCCGGAAGAACTGCTAGTTTTTGAGGTTGTGAGAGTGACTTGTTCTTTGATTATATGCAGGCTTAAATGAGCCTTTATACTTCAGATGTGCCGTGTTTTTGGCGCCTCCGAAGACGAACTTGATGATTTGTATGAATTTTTGAGAAGGCGTTTAGATGATTATGTTAAAGTGACACGAAAAGATGACGATGTCTGGCTTACTTTAATTGAGGACGAGGAAGAAGATTTGGAAGGTAAATCTTGCAGTCAGTTAATTTGTATTCAGTGAATGCTATCGCAGTTGTTGGGAATTTGGTTGCTGTTCAAAGGAGGAAGTCTTCGTCGATGGAAGTGCTTTTTTGTGTTTTAATCCTTTGGTTGTCGGTGATATTTTTACCTTTAGCCCGACTAATATATTGGTTTTTTGCAGACTTGGCGAGACTTAGTGTTTTCGATGCACCAACTTCAGAAATTCCCCCATTGCGGGTAATTATGTTTGCCTTATTTTTCAACATTTCTGTGAAGCAGGGACGATAAGTTACATACAATTTTATTGAATTATCAAATGTTTGTTGTCACGGGAAGCCAGATCAGTATAGTAGGGGAGATTGCACTTCACGCATATTCTAACAGCCAGAAGCAGTAGAGTTATTCTAATTTCAACTTTTGCTATCAAACTTTACTTAGCTTCTTTGTAACACCTCTTCGCTAGCTGTTTAGCCTAAACCGTTTCGTGATTATTTTTGCCAATGTACTGCGCAGTTTACCAATGGGCCTGGCACAATGGGGTATCCCTGTTGTCGTACGCTATGTCGGAGGTTCGACTTCCTATGTTTTCTTTCTTAATTCATCTGGGAAGAAGTGCCAGACGACTTTTAATCCTACCACTGCGTCTTTGGTCCGTGTGTTTGTCCACTGGCATTCATGCGCAGTGCTTCTTTCTCACTGTCCTTTTCTTGACGGCTGTCACTCGAATAGCAGTTTGAGGTAAAAGGTGGAAGAGGGTGCGCTGAGATTTTAAATGCTGATCTCATTTTGTGTAGATAATAGAACCGATTTATTAGGCTGCTGCAGCAAACAATGCTGCTTGGAACTAAGGCTGTTTGCACAAAAAACTGTTTGTTGAACTTTTATTTGGCCACTGTTGTAACAGATTTCTCGCCAGTTGTCTCATATCTGCTCATTTTTAAATGCCGTAGAGTGCTGTAGCTCTGTGCTGGATAATTTTATTGATACAGTGCAATCCGAAACCAACGTTATTTACCACTGAGGATAGACTTTTAATTTCCTACTCTTATCATGAAGCCACCTAATACAAGGACATACTTTTTTAGGCTCAAAATGCGAATATTAGGTTGCCGTACTCAAGCGGGACAATTATGCCGTCAGTATTAAAAGATCAAGAT